GTTAAGGACAGAATGAATGGGGCCATGTATCGTGTGATTTTGAGCCAAAACCTCCTTCCATCAGTGAGAACTTTGAAGATGAAACGAGGCTGGGTCTTCCAACATGACAATGATCCAAAACACACCGCCCGGGCAACAAAGGAGTGGCTCCGTAAGAAGCATTTGAAAGTCCTGGAGTGGCCTAGCCAGTCTCCAGACCTCAACCCCATAGAAAATCTGTGGCGGGAGTTGAAAGTCCGTGTTGCTCGGCGACAGCCCCAAAACATCACTGCTCTCGAGAAGATCTGCATGGAGGAATGGGCCAAAATACCAGCTACTGTGTGTGCAAACCTGGTAAAGACCTATAGTAATCGTTTGACCTCTGTTATTGCCAACAAAGGTTATGTTACAAAGTATTGAGTTGTATTTTTGTTATTGACCAAATACTTATTTTCCACCCTGATTTACCAATAAATTCTTTACAAATCCTACCATGTGGATTCATGGATTTTTTTTTTCCACATTCTGTCTCTCACAGTTGAAGTGTACCTCTGGTGCAAATTACTGACCTCTGTCATCATTTTAGGTGGGGGAACTTGCACAATCGGTGGCTGACTAAATACTTTTTTGCCCCACTGTATATCTCCAAAATGTCAGAAGTAGTTAGTCATTACAAGAAGTGTTTGTGAACAAAAAAAAATCACGAATGTGGGATACTGTTTGTCTCTGCAGGGAGACCTACCTCGGCACTTGTGCAGGTGAAGCCAAAGGGCAGATTTGCTTCACCATATTTTCTAGTCTTTGGCTTAGAATGAAACATATTCAGCGATGCTTCATCTCCTGCTTTGCGTTTCTGTAGGTGCCCGTGCTAGCAGTGTCCAAGCGTTTTGTTTTTTTCCCCCCTTTCCATCCCGCGCCCCCCCGCCATGGCTCTGCGCCCCCCACACTTTGGGAAGGTCTGACACAACTGATCCTACAAATGGCTGGACAAAGCTGGACTAAAATACAGCACAGAGGCACTAATCATGGCAGCACAGGAATATGCACAAGACTGACAGAGGCTGGGTCTACAACACTAGGCACGAGCCCAGGTGCAGGCTGAAATGGTGGTTGTGGTTGAGAATGACCAGGCCAAGACTTCCAGATACTGATGGACAAATTGGTGGCAGCTAACCAACCACATGTAGTAGTGGTGGGCAAGAAGCGGAAGAAGTCTGTAGTAACAGATATAGCCATCGCAAGTGATAGCAAAGAACACAAAAGCTTGAGGAATACCAAGAGCTAGAGATGTGGAAGGTGAAGGCAACAGTGAGCCCTGTGATCATCAGAATACTGTTGACCACAGGCAGTACCCGCCAGACGGCGGTAACAGCACCAACATTTTATTTTATAGTCAAGTTCCCAGGTATAAACTGTATATATAGCAACCAGACATGTGTAAACAAGAAAGTGTCACAAAACCACACATCATCGAGCTGGCATCAAGATGTCATTATTGTAACCATTTTAACCACTACCAGCTGATGTTTGTTTTTTTTTTTAAATTCAAATATACTATTTTGTCCACAGTCATAATGCCCATATGGAAGAGATATTTATAAATCTTCTGACGTTTGTATCTGTCTTGTGTGAAACTTGTATGAAAAGCATACAAGAGTGAAAACACATATAAGATCCCTTGAAAAATTATATAAATGAAACTTGTATCTTTTGGATATTTACTAAAACAATATATGAAAGTGGCCACTTTCATGAGTGAATCATATCAGCCTTATATGATTCACTATATGAAGAAGGCCACATCTGATGCAAGTCTTTTATAAGTTTATTCTATTTCTTTTCCATATGGGGGGTAAATTATGTGGGACAGTAAGTAAACTGTCTGTCACATATTTCACATGACATCAAGATTCTTTCTCTAATCACATATTTTATAAGCAAATGGCTGAAATGATTAGTTCGTTATCCAATTACTTGCCAAGTAATTTTTAGTCACTGGTGGCAGCCTGATACTGACCCCTGGAACTCCTTCCACTGGTAATCACTGGCATCTCCCAGAACAGACATGTTGAAAGCCTTAACGCATTCATCTCCGACGGTAAGGAACTGGGCTGAGGAGGGGCAGCCAGTTTGCATGTGTGAGTCAGAATCCTTTTAATGCTTGTTCCAATGCTCGTCTCGCTTGCTATGCTGACCACTCAACCCCCAGTGCTATCACACTTGTGTGACAAATTCAACAGCGTAGCAGAAAAAGAAGAAAAGCGCAGCGCTCTGGCTTTAGTGCTGCACGGGTCTTTGGAGGGAAGAGATGGGCTGTAGCAGAAGCCTTCAACTCCAGTCTACTCTAACAAGCAGCATGTGAGAGGAATTAGATTCCATAACACTTGTCCCTCCTCAACAACAGGCTCTACGCTTGCCACTGATCCCAAACGCTCACACACACACTGCACTACAGTCACACAGAACTCGTGCAGAGGGAGGAGGCATGAGAAAAGTGGCAAAGATTAAAAAGTCAGCTGGAAGCTTTCCTAATACTCAGTGAGTCTGTCCCATGACAAAAGTGCACCAAGTTTGGGTCTTTCAACACACAGATCCCTTTTTTCTTTAAAGAAGAAGAAATAATTCAAGCTTCTGGAACTACTTTTCCAATGACACTAAGAAAGCTGCAAAACGCTGCATTTTGAAAATAGTGTCAAATTAATTGTTTTAATTGTTATGCAAAGGTTCGAATTTACACACAGCTGCTTTAAGCTACCACATTCTAAGGCCAGGCTTTGGCTGAAAAATGTAAAAGAATAAATAAATGAATGACTAAATTTATTCATAGGTTTGATAGTGTGCTTGGCATCATTGTCCTGTTACATGGCTGTCTCAGCCAACCTTTAGCCCTCGATAGATGGCCTTTTACTCCACAATACATCTCCCAGATGCTCTATGAGTGTCACCTGGTCCAGCTCGAGACATGATTATCAGATAATGAGTTCATGGTTTTTAGAAATTTAGAGAGAACATAAAAATTTAACAATAAAATACATCACTGTTGCAAGAAAGAAAAAAATTAGATTAATACTTTATAAAATTGTTAATCTAGTGATTTAGTATGCAGTGGTAAAATACACAATTCAAAACAGGTTAACTGTTTTATTGCTGCAAGCGCTCTTTATAGTGCTGCACATTAGAGCTCTGAAGCTTAGTGGACACAGTCAACATAAAATATAACGTCCCATAGCGCAGTAAAGGTGAAGCGAAAATGATTTGGTTTTTTGGCATATCAATGTGAAACTGCTCTTACTGATTGAATGGGTATTTGTGGCACGTGTCCTATGCTCTAACTGCATTTCCAGTAGTGTAAAACAGACTAAGAAGCTAAGTCAAAATCAAGTATAAATATGTTTACACATTTTGTGAATGGTTAAATGAATACACACACATTCCCATGACAACGTGACACACAGTTTGCATTAACAACTGGGATTACATCATGTATTCCCCAGTACAAACTCTATAGTACTCTTAAAACACTGGCTTTTATTTTTCCATTGGTAGTATTTTAAAACGCGTCCAAACGTCCAAAACTTGCTTCTACGGACATACGTCCCCATTCTTATCAATGACCGTTTACCTTCCTAATTCCTATGGAAGCAGTAAACTCTATAGAGTCATGTGAACTCTTTTTCACATAACTGTATACCACAGTTAAATGTAGTATAGCCATCAAAGTGTCTATATCACTGTGAATCAGCCTGCAGTGTTCTCATTGTATTCATTTTATTATTATTTTTAAACTGTGTGTCACAGTTTTAGACGTCCCATATCATGCTGCTTTTGTGGCTTTAGTTTCTAGAAGTAACCTCTTTATATGCACATGCACGCTTCCATAGTAAATACATTCATTTTCATTTACCAGTTATATGTTAATAGTCAGAATGTGGTTCAGTAAGTTGGCTTGAGGAATCCTGTACTGCTTACATTGAGGGCAGGATGGGTTAAATGTTTTTCAAGAACACTTTGAAGCTCAAACAACAGTCCAGTATCTCACAATTTACTTGGCTTTCATTTTTTCTGAAAAGAAAATATCCCGATGTCAGATCTTGTTGTGCTCATTCACCCTGTGTGCAAAGCATCTCTCCTCACTCACACACATTTTTAAACAAGAAAGTCTGTGGCCAGTTCACGCATGAAAAAACATCACGCACCAACTAATTTTCACGCACCTGTCCATAAAATAAGTTAATAACTTCAGTAAATGAAAATAATGAAACTCTTTAATTTGCAGTAGCGTCCTTCTGAACGCGATGACGTTTACTGTGAAAAGGGGTAAACGTCATCGCGCTGTTTAAAAAAACAAAAAGCCCCGAAGTTTTGCAGGTTTTTGCCTGATAAAATCATCTACTTCTTTTATGCTTTTATTGCGGGCGACAGTTAAACACGAAAGAAAAATTACATTTGATGAAGGCTTGAACAGTCTGAGAAGCTACATTCATGAATGCTACTTGGAAAATGAGCCACAGAATCATGTGAGCAGGCAGAACCAACACCGGAGTGTTTGATATAAGCAATCATACTGCCGCAAACCTATAAGAGGTCACACTTTGCATGACAAAACGATTCAAACCCGCTCATACCTGTTAACTTTACACTGCATTAATAGTCCTGAACTTCACTTAAATGCCGTTTTATTTTCTTCATTGTGTATATGAGGTCACTTTGAAATTCGGCACAGATATGTTGCTTTGACAAAACTTCACATCACTTCACCGGGATTCTCTTGATATTCCGGTAAAACACGTAACAAAGGGAATTAAAACCATAACTGAAATATGTACTACATGTTAGAAAGGGGCTTAAAATGATCCGCCTGCTCTTTAGACTTTTTTAATGGTGGTGGACTCCATTTAATCACGATTAATACAAAGATTAAAATGAAAGCTGGGTCAACGGCTAGAACATGGGCTAAATCCTGGTGAGCTAGTTAGCTTATAGCCTAAAGAGCATTAGCTCGGAGTACAAAACCAACTCACCCTCCTGTGGGAGACAAGAAGTCTCCGTCCTCATCGTCCCCAACGAACATTTTTTTTAACAGTTTGAAGCCTTCGTCTATTAAATAAAAGAAACGCACAAAAATGTATTAACTGTTTGACATGACTAGTCTGCGACTTCCCCTTCCTGCTTGTGCAAAAGTCAGCTGACTGTCCACCTGATCCGAGTTCAATTGACCGCAACTACCACTAGAGGGGGCCAAAGACCATATATAATCCCTGAAACACGACCAGGACAGGTGAGGTAGGCAAACCGCACAAGGTCATCAGGAGTTGAGTGTTGCTCAGGCTGTGTCCCAATCCAGGGTCTGCAGCCTTAAAGGCCGCATTTTAAGGCCGATTACATTACAGCGGCGCGACGAAGGCTGTCCCAATTCAAAGGCTGCTCGAAATGCGGCCCTCAAATGTGGCCTTCATTTCCCTGAATTTTAAGGCTGTGGCGGTGTACATATCCCACAATTCATAGCGCGGCAGTCGGTGTGGATAATTTTGCCGCAGACGACAGAAGCGGAGCGGTCAAAGGGTAAACTGTCAAAAGTAAGTACTGAATATGATGTCACTTATTTATGTGCAAATGTTTAATAATGAAGAACATTAAAACATTACTGTTGGCCACATGTCGGCAAAGTTATGTGACATTAGTGATGTTTGTACTTTCAGCGTTTACTTTGTTTTAAACCCTTTAAAATATAATAATACAATAGTCGACCTTAATCTTACAGAGATTGTGATGATTTTGTGGATAATTAAAGTCAGTCATATATCCACAAACACAACAAGCTGAAAGTCAGTGATGCTGCTCGGTTTGCAGTCCTGAATATCACGGCACAAGCAGGATTCACTGCACTGTTAATGTTAGCTGTGTTATATTGCTGCCTCTGTTCGGTCACACATGTGTCCACTGCACCATCTGGGAACTCTTCTTGTTTCGTAATAACACAAACACTAAATCCTGCTTCTCTGGTGCTGTTGTGTAGCAGTGTGTACACCTGAGACTGTCACCTGTCTGTCTGTCCTGCACTCTCTCTCTGTTTCTTTCTCTCTGATTGTGGAATAAAAGTATGAACGTGTGTTTATAAGTTACACTTGTGTTTGAATCCTGCAGCTTATCACACATTTGATTTCCATGTGTGACACCTGCAAGTGTCCAGAGTGAGGACAGACTGAGGGACACACTGCTGCACATCATCTGTGAGGCTTTGCAGCCCTGATGATCCACCAGGACAAACTCAGCAGTGTGTGAGGAAGAGTAGGAGGAAGAGCCAGCAGCAGCTGACAGATGGAGAGAATAGACAGACTGTTCCCTGTTTGTGAAGGACTGCTAGGAAAGTTTAACATAACTGTCTGTGCTGAATCAGTCTTATTAGGTAATGTTCAAATAATGTGATCATCCCAGTGTTTCCAGTGTGGGAGAAAGTACTCAGAGTACTCAGGGCCTTCAAGTTACACACTTTGAAAGGCAGCAACAAGTTTAATGTTCAGAAACCTAAAGTGTGTATCAGCAGCAGAATGGAGCTAAAAATAAATGTTGGTTTCAGTTCTATGAAGCTTTGAGTATTTTGGATCAGTAGCTGCTGTGTGTGTTGCATCATATTGCTGTAATTGTTTATATGCTTTATATATTCTGAGCTAAGTTGATCTATAGTGTTACATCATATTCTATAAGGATGTTATGTGTTTGTAGACTTTCTGCCCAGTTTGACCCATTTAGCAGAAGTCAGCCTGTTTAAGGCTCTGATGTCTATTCTGTATGACTTACAGCAGTTATGACATGGTCTGATTTTCTCAGCCAATAAAGGAATATTTCATATATCAGTCTACTCTTCATTCTATCAGAAACAGTTATCACAGCTCGAACATTTTCTTTTTACACATATAAGTAAGCATTGAGCCAAATTTAGTAATGCCAACATATTAAAAGAACAATATTTGCCTCTTATATATAATACATCTACAGATACACTGTCACAGACACTTGTCTTTGAGTGAAGATTTAAGGTGATTGGAAATTTAAATAAACGCAACTTGAATCTTTACTGAAGCTCAGTGTTTGACACAGAGTTCAAGTTCACTGCTGTAATATAATAATCTGACAATAACTATAATATTGGCCATATTATATTTACATTACCAAAGTGAGATGATTTTAGTCTCACGACCAACATTAGCTAATTGTTATTTACTAGCTAATCTTAAAATGACTGTTCAGTACAGAAAAGCCCAACAATCATGTTTTACAGTCACGTGGTCTCAGCCTCAGATACTCAACTAATCAAAGTGATCTCATTGAAAAAAAACGAATTTACAAAAAAACATTGTTCTCCTTCATTTCTGTCAAACAAACTGTATGAAACGTTTCGCGCGGTTAGTATCATGGTTGCTAGGCAACCTGAGCAGCGCGACGAAGGCTACACCGTCCCATTTCACAAGCCTCGCACTTCCGCACTTCTCGTGCTTCCTAGCACGCGCCGTACCTAGGCGAACTGCGCGTACTCCGAAGCATGGGTCGCTGGATTGGGACACAGCCATTCAGGGGACGCTGTCCTTTAGTCAACTCTGACCTTCGACCTTACAAGAAAAAGAGCAGAGAATAATTTCAAAGATAAAATAAAAGTAGTAAAATACATTAAATTCTGCTGAGCTTCCATTGTTATTCCTGATTTTTAAAAAAGACAAATGTGAAATTCATAATCAATGAGGGCTATGATCCCTACACATGCGACTGAAATGACTGCTGCTGTACTTTTGGGAGCACTAATTATTACAAATAATTGTTATTGCTTTGTGGTTATTATATATGTAGTACATTTCATATATTATATCAATATTTTTTTTTAATGAGGTGAAGATACTATACATACATATTCACATCTGGTTTATCAATATTTAATGAAATCATTTGAATGTTATAAAATGATTTCTATAAATTTACTGTGAAAAACATTCTGAAGCCACACATCTGATTTAAATGGGATTATTAAATACTCGTGTGCTTCCTCCATCTTTTTTTTAAGTGTTTTCCTACCATTGTTTTAAAAATAGATCTCATTATATTCACATAAATGCAAGCACATTTCCCTCCATCAGTGTTAATACTGAGTAAGACTCAAACCTTCCTTGTTTGCCAAGTTCATTAAAAGAGCTACATTCACTGGCTCAACTCCAAACAGCATAGGTCAGTCCTGACCAACAGCAACACAGTTTAATGTGATATGAGCACTGGTGTTTGTATGTAAATGTATTTGCAGACACTAACAACACTCCATCCTTTCTGTGAAAGTATAAGTGGACCACTTGCAAGCACAGATTGGTAAACTGTTAAATGCAGACTGAGTTATCTCAAATAACTTATTTTTATGATGAGATGTCTGTTTGCCTGCGTCAGGCTGGCGACCTGTCCAGGGTGTACCCCGTCTCTTGCCCTATAGTAGCTGGGATAGGCTCCAGGCCCCCCGGGACCCTGATAAGGATAAGTTGAAGAGAATGGATGGATGTTCACGGCGTACACAGGACAAATCTTGCTGACACTGATAATGTACAGATTTCACCCTTGGCATTCCCATGAGGTTGAGTAGTGTCCTAAAATCCAAAACATTCCCTTTAGTTCATGCATGTTGATACATGAAATATCTTTGCCACTAGGCTAGGAGAAAATGTGGTATGTCATTGATCCGATTACAAAGTCAGAGCAAATATCTAGACAGTGATTGTGTAATACAGCTAAACATTTAATGTCATTTTATTAGGAAAAATTAGATTTTACATCAAAGTAAAATATGTTTCTCCATTCTTTCTTTTTTAATTGAAGTGGCAACCCCCCTTCTGATCTCTCTGGATAGATTACCCCTTCATAACAATGTAGGGCTGAATCCAGCCAGCATGTTTGGGCCAAAAATTCAAATTTATTTTAAATCTAACTGTCCAACTGTCTCCAATATGACCTTATTGGAACTCTTTGTTTGTTACCTGCTGCTTTAAAAATGTTTCCTTGTGGTATGAATGGTAGTATTGTGTCGACCCACTGGGATATAAAGAAAAACATCCTTTAAAGCACAACTGAATGTATTTTATGATTGATTTGAAATGTGAAAGTGTAGTATCTAATGGTGTCGTGGGCTGTTTCATAGGCTTCCTCAGATTTCTTGCTAGCCACCCTATGCATCGTGTCACTTCATCCCTCAACACTCGCACAGACGTAATAGACAATTTAATACAATCCACTTGCTTTACTCTCTTTCAGTATTTACAGCAATATTATGGCATCTAAGGCATTTTTCACTTGTCAAAAAATATACAAAAATAAAGTTGCATCTGTTTCTTCCCATGTCACAACTGTCATCAGTCCATCACTTTTGCTGCGCCTAGGAAGAGCTAGGTGATTTTCCTGTTCCGCTTCGCTCTACGTGTGGACGGAAATCTGATGAACTCAAATGGTTTACTTTGGTCCGTGTTGGGGAAGGGAGGTAATCCTGTGTGCAGCCTCTTGATGAAATGGACCTCTCTCTGATTCTCCCTCGTTCTGGAGGCTTTCATGGGCCTCCCTTTCCGGGTGAAAGCCACATACCAGCCCTCATACTTGGCATTCTGGAAGGCTGTGTAATTGTTCTCCAGTACAATCTCAGTGAAGATACAATCTTTGCTCCGGCCATTTGGCTGTGTGAGAAGACAGAAAGGTTTCTTGTGTTACACCTGGACAAAAACTGATTCATCTATATATAAAATTATTGCCTGAACTCATGGAATAAATGGCTTTATACAGTGTCAAAAAATGTCAGTGCAAACAGCTTAAAATAAGACTAACATTTGGAAGACAAAACCAAATTCTGATATAAATGAGATGCTGAGAGAACGAGCAATAACCCAGAACAATAACCCTTCTTATTTCAGTTTACTCAACAGTGAGCTTCTGCTGACTCACTTATGCAAATAGCTTCTGATGTGTGTCAGGTAGAATTATTATTTTCTTTCTTCACTAATTGCAAAAACAAAACGTATTCAGATTGCCTAAGGTGAGGGTTAGGGCTGGAACTGGCTGGAGCCTTTATGACTTGTATTCATGGATTTCAGTTGGAATTATTGTTCTATTTGTTCCCTTATTGCCAAGATTTGGAAGAAAAATGGAAAACCAAAACGTTCATATTATCATTGCCTACGATTAGTTAGGGTTAAAGTTGTGATCGTCAATGATAACGACTTAAGCCTCACGTGGTTAAATGCTGGCAAATATTGTTACCTTTGCACAGAGATGTGCTAGCTGTCTTTATGCTGCGCTAAGCTTCTGATTTTAGATTATGTTAAAACAGTTGATAGGTATCAAATTAAAAATGTAATCACCCCTTTCCCCAATGATCAAAGGAAACTAATGTGATTTAATCATTTGTTGTCATCTTCTGATATGTTGATAACAGGTACAATCTATAATACTAGAAAAATGTAACAGAAAATGTGTGATGGTTACATTCAAGTTTGTTGCAACTTTGTACACAGAATTATTGAAAAGAACTGTTCTTTTTATCTTCACCTACAGACTGTGTCACTGAACTTCTTATCTCTGTACAGATATCACAGCAGCCACAATTTCAACACCTCTGAATCGTGATGAGAACGAGATTTATGACTTGTCATGTCAGCCAGATATGTGATTCCATCTTTTCCATTTCCGTGAAGGAAGTGGAGAGTTGACTTATGACCAAACACACAGGGTGTGCATGATGGGAGGGTACTTCCCCCAGTCATTGTCAACCATGGCCAATAGGACTGAGTGATATCACTCAGTCCTGAGAGGATCCCTTTTTTCCAGTACTACATCATGTCCTGAAGTGACTGACAAGGTATGAGAATTCAGTAACAATGGACTGGAGCTTTAGCATCTGAGCTACAGTGTATGTTTTATTGGATATGCAGTGTGTTAAAGTAAAGTCTGTATTTCCTCTGAGGAAAAGTTTTCTCATCAGTGGTAAGTTTTCTTATGGGAAGATGGTTACGCTAACTTTACATGCTACAGACGGAACAATAGCACTGATGTGTTCTACCTGATGTGTTCATTTTCAAGATGTTCAAGGTGTTCATTTTGCCTTAACCTCTCAGTATCCACCAGCATCCACCAGATCATTGGGAACCTAGGGTTACAGTTAGGGTTAGGAGTGGGGTTTGCGTTCAGTTAATATCTACCCCAAATAAAAGTTTTGGAAAAAAAATATATACTGCATTGGCAAAGTGTGCTTCATTTAAAATATAAAATATTGTAGTTTCTGAAAACCTTCCTGTTTAGAGTGTAGCTAAAACAAAACCCAACACTAACCCTAGATGGGTTGACCTGGTGGATGTCTACTATAACACAGTTTGACTGCTTTTTTGTTTCTTTATTTCTTTTTGCTTCACCACATTTGTCCCCTACTTTGGTCACTAAAGTCAGCATAGGTGTAGTTTCTGTGTTAACACATACTCCTCAACACATACCTTTCCAACAAGCTTCCCCTTCCGGTTCATACAGAGGTAGCGCCCACTTTCTGCACCTCTTATCCTAACTCGACTGCCAAAGGTGTCTGTCTCAACAAACAGGCGAGCTGCAGGAAAGACACAAGACTGTCAGGGGGCTGAAGACAAAAGGAGCCTAGGACACAGCCACAGACTCACTTTTGTCTTGTGTGTGTAATAAGTCATGTACAAAATGTCTTTATGGGAATCAGGTATTATTGAAAACACACAGTGACACTGAAATATAAAGCCCAATTTCTGCTGTACCATGTATGACCAGCATTTAGTGTCTGCTATTCACTACAGATATAAAACCTGCAGGGATAATGAGTTAATGCTGTTAGTATAAGAATCTGCACTTCTTTGCTCTGTGGACTCTGTTGAGCTGAAACTCCTTAGTGATAACAACCTGATGAAAGTCAAAACACCAACTGATTAAACAAATGTTATGTCTGGTCATTAAAGACCTAGATCTTGCAAGCTGAATATACATTCTCACTTATTATTCTGCAGTTAATCATGGCCATTACAACAGTCTTGTGTATTGGGACTACAGAAACAAAGGGCTTGTCCTAATCAGCCACTAAATTCATCAGACGATGGTTTCATGGATGCAGCAGGGAGGCTGAATTAACATACAGGACTGAAAACACCTCAAAGTGGGAGGGACGGGCAGGCTGGATGTGAAACTGCTGGCTTTGCCTGAGGACATCAGTGCCCAGCAGGGGCTAAATAGCTGCGCTGTGGGGAACCACAAAACTCCAGATTGTCACTAATTCCTCGGAAGAGTCTCTTTAACAAGGCATTGTCACTGATTGCAGACTAGTGTACTGCATTCTGCCAAACTATGCAAAACCCTTAACCTCTTAACCTCCACCAAGTCATTTGTGACTTATTGGGACAGGAGTACGGTTTCGGTTCAGCTGACGTCTCAGTGGATTTCAACTGAATCTCTACTGAATATAGAATTTTCTCCTATTTGGAAGATCGAAATGTTAAAGCTTTTAACAGAAAAATATGTATGACACTTTATTAACATGTTCAGCTACTTTGTGGAAAATGGCCCTTTTTTAGTATGTGGCTAGCATCATTTTGTGCCTTTTGATAATGCAACTATTACAATATATAGAAATCTTGGAATGAACAAACTTCTTCAATTGGATTTTGGAAAAATAAATTAATACTCAAAGCCTACTGATGATATCCATGATTTTTAAATATCAAATATATTGTGAATGTAATACACATTTGAGATATGGTAAATAAGTATGCAATTGCTCTTTTCAAGGTTTCTGTACAGGTATAGTTACATAGTCACAAAATGTACTATCATTATTATCATTATTATTGTTATTATTATTATTGTTATTATTCTTATTATTATTGTTGTTGTTGTTGTTATTAATTTATTATTATTATTATTATTATTATTATTATTATTATTATTATTATTATTATTATTATTATTTCCTAAGGAAACATTAATAATAATATCAGTATTATTTTACATGAATATTCAGCCATAATATTAATGTAGAGAAAAGTTCATATTGTGGCAGCTCTATTCAAAATAAAAATACAATCCGGTGGTGAGTCTGTCAATATAAATGTATTAAATTATATCTAAATGTATAAAACCAGTTTGTGATCATTACATATTTATCCCGACACGTTTTAAATGATGTTAATTGCCCAAATGTTAACTGTACTTCACAGTATGCGTGTTTGAACAAAAATGTACCTTTACATTAAGAAAAAGAAGAACATAAAACAAATCAGTTGAAAATCTTTTTCACGTAAATGTTTTTGTATTATTTTTTCGAGGGATGGGCTGCTGGAAAGAAAATTGACAACTTAATGCTTTCTCATGAAATATCTACCGGTAGGCCTTAGTGATCGTAATCCTTGGTTATTCTTAAAGTAACTTGTTAGCTCTTACCGTACAGATTTCCATCCTCGGCGGTGGCGGTGACCCTTTTGCCGTGAATCTGGACGTGTTTCCCGCTAGTGCGACTGTAGAGCTGGTAAACTCTGACCTGTCTTCGGCTGAGCTGGTCCGTCACTGCGCCCTGCGTCCTCACATACTGGTTAAAATTAGGAGACGGGTGATTCTCCCCCTTTTTTATGCAAAGGGAAAAATGAAATACATAATGTTGTCTTTCTAATCTGGGATAAAGAAACGATAGCCAATTTTAGAAGCACCAAAATACGTCAGATTTTTTCACAAATGAATAGGCTATTCTTTTGCACACTAACATCGGCACTCATATTCAAATGTCGTTTGGATCGTAGCCTTGTAATTGTTCCTTCTTTCAGCTATTCTTTATTGTTAACAGGTTTAAGTTTTAGTGGCTTACCTGAGCCTGACACCACAGCACGAAAAAATGAAACGATCTGCAGGAGTAACAAAAAATGAATGAGCAACAAAGAAGTGATTTTTTTGTGGCTATCATACAATCAGAGTGTGTGGCCCGCTTACATGTAAATACAGTGTTGGTTTATTCCATACATTCTCTCTCTTATTTTAACCGGTCAAGGAGCAGAGTTCTTTCGGCAGTAAATCCCAGAAGGATGCGGTAAATAAATCCAAGCGTTCCCACAGTGTCGCATATGCACTCCTGACCTGTCCATCCACACCGACAAAGTCTGCAGCAGTTATTTCCTGTCACATTTATCAGAAAACTGATCCAGCTGATTGGGTAGTGAAAAATTCTTCGAAACATCAAAAGCGGACGCATCCATTATAAAGCAGAAAGGCTGTAATGCTGCTCTTTACATGACTAGGATGGAAACGTGAGGGGATCCCCAGCTCGCTGCGCTGCTGCTTGGTTTGATTCCAGCTTTTGAAAAGCCCTCTGTGTCACTGGGACCCGGCTACTCACTGGTTAAATGGTGAAAGGCTCAAGTCCCTCCTTGAAATCTTGTGGGTGGGGACAGCAGCGGGACCAATAATTTACAGTTTGTCAGAAGTGCTAAGACAGATTTCTCGAAACTTTCTGAGCTTTTCTTGAAACTGTAAATGCAAAATACAGTTTTCACAGCACATTTGCATCACACACAGTTTCAGTACAACGAAAAACACGTTTGCCCCGAACAAAGGTTCAGTCAGCCTGTTTGTTGCAGATGTTGATGATTACGCTTCAATTCTTTAAAAATACCCACAGGATCTATTTTTCAATTTACCCCTGCAATTCACTGCTGTCGTGGATTAGTGATATATAAATAACTGAAGCGAATGCTGCTGTCAGTGTTGTGTTTAAGAAATGACATCTGTGCTTTAGTTATTTAACTTGTCCTTCCAGAGGGAAACACCTGGGACAGGTCGCCTGTCTGTCAGGGTTTAATCTACTTTCAACATTAATTACAGCACTGTGTTTGAAAATGAGAAGCCTATTAGCAATTTATGGGAAATGTTGGGAGGTGTTAATGAAACTACAGCAACCTCCCACAACACTTCTGCTTGTGTTACCTGGTCACACTTTGGGCTCATGTAGAGCAAATCATTTAGACAAAAAGTGTGTTTTTTCTTCACATGAGCAATCAGCATCCCGAGAGAAGCTCCCGAGCTGCGCTAACAGTGGAGTTCAGAACAGCCTTTTCTTAATCCGGCCAAAACAGTGTAAGAAATCTACGCAAGCCAATTTTGGATGTTGTCCTTAGGTTTTTTTTTCTGTTCCGATTTAATGTTGAAAACCACTCTAGTTTGTAAAAGCTCTCTGTTCAAGATAAACGACCTTTTGTTTTCCTACCCCACATAAAGCTTTATAACGTGAAAACAGGAGTGCAACTGGACACAATACCAGTGCAAGATTGTTGAAACCCAGCAGATAAACATCAGTCACCAGCTCTGCTATGTTTGCTACAAGTGTGAGACGGACAGCACATGAGTTTTCTGAAAAAATAGCAGTTTCTGCCTTACCTGAAGGCTCTTCCTGGAGCACTCACCTCACTTACTCAACTGCCTGCAGCATTCTCTCCACCTGTGGAAAAGCAGACCAGTCACCTCTTCCTCAGGAGTCCAAGTAAGCTACCTCACTTTCACTCACTAATTGGACTTTCCTTACAGAACTTATTTGGACTTCTCAGACTAATAGCTCTCTGTTCACCCAGAGTCACACCTGTCATGTTCATATCAGCTAAGAAGAGTCACCTCCGTCCTTGCTGCCTAAGTTCAGCCCATGTGGCCCATTAAAAAAAAGTGGTTTGGGGTTCAGTGGTTGAAGCACTGATCTTCCACTCTGCAGATGCCCAGTAGACATTAAAGCAATAGTCAGTGGTTTTGAGACTGCATACTGGCCTCTGTGTTCCCGTATTACATTCCCTATGGGCTGTTTTAACTGCATGCAATCAACGTATGGTCAGATACACGATATTGCCAAAGGTAGTCTCTTTCCCATGTAAATCACTGAATTCGGGAGTTCCAATCCTTTCCATGGCCACAGGTGTATAAAATCAGTGACCTAGTCATGCAGACTGCTGCTACAAACATTTGTGAAAGAACGAGTCTCTCTCAGGAGCCCCCTGGGGAACAAGTCCAGTCATGAAAAGGCCTCGCTACTAAATATTCCACAGTCAACTTTTAATGGTACTATAACTATGTGAAAGCGACTGGTAATGACAGAAACTCAGACAAGAAGTGGTAGGGCTGAATAAAATCACTTAGTGTGGTCGGTGGATGCTGAGGCAGAAGGTCTTCATCTTTCTGCATAGTCAATTGTTACAGACCTCCCCACCTCATGTGGCCTTCGGATTAGCTCAAGAGCAGCGCATGGAGAGCTGCATCCAAACCTTATATCACTGAGCACAATGCAAATCCAGGGATACAGTGGTGTAAAGCACATCTCCACTGGACTGTAGGTGTAGACGGGTTCTCTGGAGCGATTAATCACGCTTCTCCATCTGGCAATCTGACGGATGAGTCTGATCTGCGGTTGTTTTTCAGGAGTTGGGCTCAGATCCTTAACTCCAGTGAAAGAAACTCTTAATGCTTCAGAATACCAAGACAGCTCTGGACAATTTCATATTCCCAACTTTCTGGGAACAGTTTTGGCATGAACGTTACGGTTCCAATCTGACCGTGCACTAGCGCACAAAGCAAGGGCCATAAAAGCATGAATGAGCGAGTTTGGTGTGAAAGAACTAGACTGGCCTACAGAGAGTCATGAGCTCAAACAGATGGAATACATTTGGGGTGAATTAGTATCATCAGTATCTGACCTCAGCTGACCTGGAAACTTCTGTCCAGGTACCCTCTCCTCCAACAAAATGGGAAACCCCGAACAAACCTTAATTCTGTGTTGCGTTGTCAGGATTTAGAAATTTGATTTAGAGCAGTAAAATGTTACCTGCTCGCAAAATGCTCAAAAACAATAAACAACAAGAAGAAAACAGAAAATCAAACAGAAATGAAAAAAGACGAATGAGACAAAATGAAAGAGAAAATAAAGGAAGGTAAAAAAAGAGGAGCCAGAAAGGACAAGGAAAAGAAAGATGATGGGGAGAATTAGAACAGGGGAATATGAGAGGTGAAAAAGAACAGAAAAGGCAAGTGGAGAAAAACTAAAGAGGGGAATAGGAACGAGAGAAAAGGTAGAGAAGAAAAATGATCAAAGAAGATCTGAGAAGACAGCAGAGCTGGTAGATGGGCGTGTATTTTGTTAGCTGCTGGGTCCAGATGAGGTGTATTTTGTGAACAACAGTGTAACATGAAGCTTCAAGTGCCTTCACGTCTTGGCCTTCTCACGTTCTCTTGACCTCACTACTACAATCATCCCCACCGAGGGCAATAAAGCAGTAAAATGCAGCAGTTAGGCATCTCTGACATGTTGATCTGTTTTTAACTGCTTGACAGGAGTCACTGTTACTGACTGCTGATGTCACCTTTACTGTAAGCCCATCAACTCATCCATCAGTTCTCCTCTAGTGGAACAACAATTAGTATTGTCTTAGTAAGAAAACACACACTTAGTAATGTGAGTGATGATTTAACAGCATGATGCAGGCTGCAGCAAGTGTGTTTTTGTTTGCCTGGGGAAATAACTTGGCCCGTGCCAGCTTATAATGCTGCAGTGACAGTTCCACATCATCCATGCGATGAGAACGCTCTCTCCGATTCATCGTAAACTGTCTGAAAGAAAAAATAAACTGACAACAAAATTCTTACAAACAGCATAAATTCAGTGACTGAGTGAATGATTTGTTCATGTGATAAATGAAATGATAAAACCTGGATTTCAGACAATAAGAAAACTAAGACTAGGAAAATTATATTAGAGATTATATGGTTAGAAATAAAAAATAAATACAAATATATGTTTATTTTTAACTGTGAAAGAAATACTTTGATCAAACTGGAAGCATCACTGCTTGCCGTGAAACTGCTGAACTGCAAATTTCTCAGAAGAAAATTTGTTAGTGTGTCTGTGCAGCGTTCCCTGATTCTCAGGGACATCTGAGGTGAAACGAGTTTGAAATGATTATTTTTCCAAAATAATTTCTATTAAAAAAATGAAAAGAACTTGGAGCACCATCCCTACAAATTACTTTGGAAACGGTGCACACCAAGGTCGCTGACCTACGCTATAACTTAAATAAGTTTTGTGCTCCAAATCAGTGTGTTGAAATTGTGACTTAGCATCCTAAGAATACTGTAGCTATCATGGTTGTTAGGTTGAGGGTATAAGATAAATGCCTGACCACTAATCTTTTCCTTAAGCCGAATCTGTGATTGAAATGCATCTTATCTAAAATCCATATACATAGTTGGGGTAGTGAATGGTGCCCTTTCATTGTATGTTAGTTTTTGGTTTTTATTATAATTTGGTTGAGTTTAGTGATACAAAATCTGGTTAATTTCTTTTATAAAACAGGTTTAGATGTCAAAAATTAATGGCTGGGTTTGGATTAAAAAAACAAACAAAAAAACAACAACCTAGTTCTAGTCTTGTTGTAGCCCTGATGAACAATCAATATGTAGCATGAGAACTAGCATTGTGCTGACCATTGCGTACTTGCATTCTGTTTATGGATCCTTACTCATCCCAAATACTTTGTATATCCCAGAAACACTTTTCACAAAGTGTCTGTGAAGGTTCTCAGTCATCCAGGTCATCGTAGTCAAAGGAGCTTGTCTATACGTACAAAGATTAAACATTCATAAAGATATTCTGTCAGCAGGTCTGCAGATTGCATTACCGTCAGTTAAGCTGCTTTATACCAGCTCAGAATATGTTATGGAACTGATTTCAAGACTTTTGGTCCCAGTTAAATTAATGACCTACTGGTACCACACAAGGCAGTTATAGTGCTTTAGAGCCTCAGACCTCGGGCCTCAGTGTGTGGACAAGTCTTTATCTCCTTTTCTGACTGCGTGCCAGCTGTTCCTTTGATGTGCTCTTGATAGTGCCTGACGTTGTTTTTTACGTTGTGAATGGAGATCATTTTTCAAAACAGTTCTAGAGTGGACAAAATTTTCTTTTTAACAAGTGTGTTGAAAAATCGCATTAAAAAAAAACTACATACATGTTCGTATAGACAAAACTTAAATCAAGAAAGGGAATAGAGTATTGGCAGTCAGGGCCACTAAAGCCCTGGAATAACTTAGCAGGAGAAAACCAGGCAGTCTAAGTCAACAATGTATTTCAATCCCACCTTTCGAGGCTGTCTCTTCATTCATAGTATTTCAAAGACTCTTAAGCACTGTGCTGCAGCCCACACATGATGCAAAGCTCTGAAGCTGTTCAGATGTTTTTCTAGAGCAAAGCGCTTTTTGTTTCAATGTTAGTATTTCTTTTGCTCCTGACATTAGCTGACACAAACTGGACTTACTTTACAA